GTGCAGTCTTATACATTTTGCATGATTGCAGATCTGTTCCATTGGAGTTCCTGGACATGCCCTTACTGTCGAACCTGCGAGGTAATTTATTTTGCATATTAATACATGTTTTCACCCAATTATGTTCAAATTTTTGGTTGCACCCATTGCTACTCATCTTCTTTCTTTAGGTCTGCCGAAGTACTGGAGACCCAACTAGACTCATGTTCTGCAAAAGGTGTGATGGTGCATACCATTGCTACTGCCAACATCCATCACATAAGGTTTGATCTGCAGTGCTTGTGCTTAGTTTTATACCTTGATTATGAATAGAATGGCTCACATAATCACTGGATATGCAGAATGTTTCTTCTGGGCCATATTTGTGCCCAAAACATACAAGGTGCCACAGCTGTGGATCCAATGTCCCTGGAAATGGTTTAAGTGTGCGGTATGATTAGTAACCAATAGAAACACAGATTTTGCACCAAAAAACCTTACCTTTCTGTATACTTTAATGCTTCATTTTACTTTTCAACTATTGAAACTCTTTAATACGTCATTTGTGTTTTAGTGTTTGATAACTGACGGCTAATGATTTTCCCGACCTTCTGCAGAACCACTTCTTTAGTATTAATATATTATCAATTTTTTATATATCTCACAGGTGGTTCCTGGGATACACTTGTTGCGATGCTTGTGGAAGGTTGTTTGCCAAGGGAAATTATTGCCCTGTTTGTTTGAAGGTAAATTCCATTTTATGATTATGAATGATTTTTGGGTGGTTCCATTTTCGGTTAGCTTAGTGTGTTTCGAAAGGACCCCCTTCCCTAAAAGTTTTTCCTTCAAACAGAAGAAAAGAAATACTGGTATTCCGAACTACTTTTATCTATTGATTATAGAAACCATGTGAATTTTTTCATGCTTCATGATTTTCTAAAAATTCAACTTAATAGGCATTTTGGTACAACCTTACAGGTTTACAGGGATTCTGAGTCAACACCCATGGTCTGCTGTGATGTTTGCCAGCGCTGGGTGCACAGCGACTGTGATGGCATCAGGTTCCTTGCTACCTTTTTACTTTTAAAGAACCACTGATCTAATTTTGCTGTCTTATTGTTTATTGCATGTTTTTGAAGACGGCAGTCGCTGTCATATTATGATGTCAAGTTTGACACAAGTAGAGGTCCATGAATTTGTGTTGCATATTTTTACTAGATTAATAATTAGTTGAGTTTCTCAAGATTTTTTGTGAAATGCTCCGCAATAGCTGTTTCCTTACAAAAGTTCTAGTACTCTGGTGAAAGAAGCAAGTTTCCCTTGTTTCAGCTTTACATCAGCCACACGAGTGTTGGATAAATTTTATTTATGAAAGAAATGTTTTTGCAGTGATGAAAAATATCTGCAGTTTCAAGCAGATGACAATCTCCAGTATAAATGTGCAACATGTCGTGGAGAGTGTTACCAGGTAGCTTTGAATTGCATCTTTCCTTTCTCTCTTCTCTCTTTCTCAGAAGGGAGATAGGAAAAGGATTCTTTTCAACTTATGACTGCTTTCATAAATGTTTTACCAGGTTAATGATCTTGAGGATGCTGTTCTAGAGCTTTGGAAGAGAAGAGACATAGCTGATCGAGATTTGATAGCTAGCCTGAGGGCTGCTGCTGGGCTGCCCACTCAAGAAGAAATATTTTCTCTCTCTCCATATTCAGATGATGAGGAAAATGGTCCTATGATGCTAAAATATGAATTTGGGCGTTCCCTGAAGTTCTCTCTTAAAGGACTTGCAGACAAATCACCAAAGAAGAACAATGAATATGGAAAAAAATCTTCAAGTAAAAAACATCCCAAGAAAAAGGCACACCAAACATCTTTGATTAGCAAAGGAGAATCACAGCTGAGTTTTGAGGGGAATCAAGATTTACACTCTCAAGGATACAGCTTGGGTGAGGAAAGGAACAATGAAGTTGAATCTCAGACAAATGAAGAACAAGATATTTCTTCTCCTGTTGCTGGAATCTGTTCTACCTATCAGCCAGGGGTTTTAAAACACAAGCTTGTAGATGAGGTGATGGTCAGTGATGAAGATAGGACATCTCGTGTTATTAAAATCAAAAGAAATAAACCACACAATTTAGATTGTGTCGATGACAATGGCAAACATAATAGCAAGTCGAAGACTGTGAAAGCTAAGAAATTAGTCATAAATCTTGGTGCACAAAAAATAAATGTCACCAACTCCCCAATGTCCAATGCTTCAAGCTTTCAGAGAGCTCAAGATGTGACTTCTTACAATGGTATGGCTTCACTTACTCTGTTTATGATATAACTTGCATTTGCATGGGATCATATATGTGCTGTCAGTGAATATTTCTAGCTGCACCAAATTACCTTTAGGTTTTTCTCTGGCCAGTTCTATTTGTTAAGATTCTATGTATAAAATGAACTAGGTAGTAGATGACATACAATAAACTGGTTTGTGTTAATCTAAAAACTAGTGTGCCTTCAAGATGCAAATCAACATAAAATTGGTGACAAGTTTCTGGATAGGCATGGCAGTGCTGCTAAATCTGGTGATGATAATATAGCTATCATGATCCATTGCTTTGGTGTTAAAAAGTTCCCTTTTGTGTTGGAATTGGTGACTTTATGCTGGTACTGGTGACCATTTGGGAGTTGTTTTTCTTTCAATTTTCTTCATGGTGACTGCAAATGTTTTCTGTTTGCAGGAGACAGAGTTGATCGCTCCACCCAGTCAAGAGGTGTGAAAATCATGGGAAGAGAAGGGAACTTTATAAAGTTTGGAAAAATTAGGTCAGAAATTCCTGAATCGAGGTCCAAAGCCGGTGCAGCAAACAGTTCTGATGGATATGGAATTGTTCCTCTAGAACACACACATATTGCCTCAGAAAAAGGAAACATAGATGGAAATAGGCTAGCTGCTGCACCTTCAGGTAATGTCTCCACACTAAGAGGGGGAAAGGTGGTGTCAGGAAAGCAGTTGGAAGACCGAGATGATATTTATGGCGAGAGTAGTGAAGATTATGGCCGCACACCTATCTTGAATTCTTTGCCAAAAGATCCCAAACCATCGCTTAAGTTTAAACTGAAGAAACCTGTTCTTGACAATCAGTATTCTCAGACTCATTATGATGAAGAAAAGAGTTCTTCCATAAAGGGCCAAAGGTCAAAAAGAAAGAGACCATCGCCCTTCATGGAAAAGTCATTTCTTAATGAAGATGAAGATGTTAACGTCACACAATCTCGTCAAGACAGTTTAATGGATGGCATGATGGATGCAAGTTGGATTTTAAAGAAGTTGGGTAAAGATGCAGTTGGAAAGAAAGTTGAAATTCATCAGGCCTCTGACAATTCGTGGTAAGATTTAGCTTCTCTTTACCACAGAAAAAACCACAAGGCAAGATGTAAATTGTTGGCCTATGGCTTCTAGATCTTTTGCACATGTTTGCTTCTGAATCTGAGCTCCAGAGTTAAAAAGGATTTGTGATGTTTTCTTTTGCATTAATCACCCACCCAAAGTATGCTTTAATAGCTGTAGATTTAGATTTTTGAGGCATGTTCTGGAATTTAATAATTTGTTTGAAATTGAACAAGCAGGCATAAGGGAGCCGTTACCAACAGTATTGAAGGCACATCTACATTATCTGTCAAGCTAGATGATGGTAGAGTGAGGACTTTGGAACTTGGGAAGCAAGGCATTCGGTTTGTTCTTCAAAAGCAAAAGAGAGAAAAAAAATTGAAGCTGGAACCCTAATTTATTCTTAGGGAGTGGATCGTAGAGATTTTTGTTCCCCCATTTTTCTATCCTGGTAGTTCTCTTATTTTGTACTGATGTTACTTGTAGGCATTTTGTTTGAGGCAGTTAATTTTTCTAGTGAAGAATCGAAGGCTGTTCCAATGACGCTTTTTGTTGTAGTAGTTGGAATGGAATACTTTCCAATTTTCTTTTACACATCCCATCCCCATTATGCATTTCTGAATTCACGTTTCATTCCCACATCTCAGGTTCAATTGTTTCTGGATTCTAAGTTTAACATCTTTGCAAGTTTGGCTTTTTTTGAGTTTCGTACATTTTGGTCTCGGGTTTTATTGACTTTGCAGTCGATTCGGGTTTGAGCGGGATTGAATTTTCTGGCATGTCTAATTGCAGCCATTTTCGGGGTGATTACATGGTAATATCTGTTCAGAATCTTTCTTTGTCATTGATAATATTCATTTCGTAGCAGTTATTTGAATTCATGATTTCTAGAGAGAATAATATTCTCCGTAACCACTGAAGTCTCTTGATTTTCAAATCAATATGAATTGTTAAAATATCTTAATTAATTCAACAAATTCGAAAGGATAAACTATACGAGTGGTCTTTTATGTTTTCGGTTCGTCTGATTTTATTCACCAGTTAAAAAAAGAGTGATTTTAGTATCTTACATTATCCATACGTTCGATTTTGCTCATTCGACCATTAATTCCCGTCAACTCAGTAGCAGAAGTTTGACACGATAACTAAAATATAAAACAAAATCCACTTCTTAGTCTTAGAAATGTTTGATTTACATTTGATTCCTACGTACTATTGTAGGGTTAAGAAGTGACTTTTGTTTTATTTTTTAATTGTCAAGTTAGATTTATGCTACTGGGTTAACGTTTGAAAGATCAAAATCAAACGACTAATAACGTAAAGGACTAAAATCACTATTTTTATTAACCAGTGATTAAAATTGGAAGGGTCGAAAATATAAGGGATCACTCGTAGTTAAGAAATGGCTTTTATTTTGTTTTTTAATTACCATGTTTGACTTCTGTTATTGGGTTAATGGGAGTTAAAGACCGAGAGACTAAAATCGAATGAACCGATAACATAAGAGACTAAAACTACTCCTTTTTTGAACCAATGACTAAAATCGGATGGATTGAAAACATAAGGAGCCACCCGTATAATTTACTCAATTTGAAATCTATAGTTATAAAAGTGATAATTGAGCCATATACACCTCAGAGTAAAGAAAAATTGACAGCAAAAACTAATTGGCAATATTACTTGGAATCAATGTAAGTTTAGAATCAAAATATAAGTAACATGACATCTATTGATTCATAATTATACAGGGGGTGGCGGCAAGTCCAGCAGGAGCCAGAAACCGACACAATCATCTGAATCCAAGTCTTCTTGGATGGCGAGGAAATGCAATCCTCCACATGCCTTCTTTGCTGCTTCCCAAGCTTCAGCTTCACTTGTGGTTGTAGGAGTTTTCTTATATGTTGCATAAACGTAACGAGTCGATATTCCGACAGATAGGATCAAGCAACCTCGACTGGTGTCGGCTTCTATGGAACACACTTCCAAACCATTCATCCAAGCTGCACCAACACATTTTCGTTGACCCTTCAATTTAGTTTTCAAGAAAATTTCATTGCTGAATTGTGAAGGTTATGATCGAGGAACAAAGTTTCAAGAGCTAATAATTGGTTTCATTGAAAGAACCAGATTAACTGCATTGCATAAATGAGGAAATATCCAAGGAGATAATAAACCTGCCTGCTAATGGTTTTGCACGTGAAGTAGCCACTGCAAGTCCAGGAATCAACGTATTGTCATCTACTTCAATTCCTAGTAAATCCAAATCCAAACCAGCGCCGAACACAAACCTTTTATCCAAGGACGAAATATCCTCTCGAACGGCTACAACGAAACAGGATAACTATGTCAAAAGAGAGAGCATGTTGAACATGATACTACTAACATTTTAGTTGGGAAATGAAGACACTTCCAGGGCTATCTTCAACGCCATTAAATTTAAATGTGAAAGATATACCTGAAAAAGGTAACTGAACAAATGCCCATTTTTCTCCAAATAAGTTTTCTGAAAGTTCCATTGGGAAAGGGTTATCTAATGCCAAAAGTGGTTTGGAACCTTTTTGGAAACCAGGATGGCGCATATATACACTCTCATAACGTTCTTCCAACCAAAGTAGCAGTGAAAGACACTAAAAAAGGGACAAGAACCATTGAACATAAGCATACAATTATCATGTTTGTAATTAGAAGCTAAAAAAACTGAACTTTATAGTTATAACATGTAACTTGTAAGAAATCACAAGATGCAAAACTCAAATTCTACATACATTGGAAATGAAAACAAACATCTATTTCCACTATGAAAATATTCAGAAACTCACCCGTTTACTTGGAACAGGCTTTATGCCAAGCTCTTTACATGCCTTTGTAATTATGGTTTGCATTTGAGACCTATTAATCCAACCAAAAACGAACCAGTTTAGATAATTCATCATGCTATTTGATATGTTATAAGAAGATTTGTAAAATTTACCTGAAGAACCGAACTTTCTCTGGCAAAGGGACACCTAAATCCTCACTTATGGTAACAACAGCTTCTTTCAAAGTAACACTATTGATAACATTATTGGGGAAATACTTGGTATACTGAAGTGAAAGCGAGCTGTCACACACTACGAGTTCCCATATCTTCTTGCCTCTGATATCCAGAATCGGCCTCGAGCAAAAATCCAGCTCCCACTCTGTAACACTCGCGGGATCGGCCTCCGGGTCAAGGTAACTCAGTTCTGAAGTTGGGTCTTCTTCTTCACTGTCGTCAAAAGCTTCTTTTGGCACCGACACTGAGCTTTCGGATACAGAGTTTGGTTTAAAATGGTGCAGCTGGTGGTGGTTTTTAGATGAAAAAAGGAATGCTAAGTTGTTGGGTTGTGTGAGAAAGTGGGATTTTGAGATTGCTTTTAGAGATTGGATAGATGGGGATTTGATTCTTGAGGAATTGAAGGTTAGAGTAGCCATGGGAAGCACTGTGAACAATTATGGAAGAGGTGAAGATGACGGCGAGTTTTCAGTTATAGAAGGAACCTGAACCACACATATCTGTTGGCATAGATGAACCGTGTTTTTGGATAGAGCGGCCGTTCCGAATGCCTCTAAACTTTAGGAAATATTTCTTACTAGGACAGTCGAGTTTGAATAGTGATAGTTTGATTTGATTAAAAAATGTAAAATCAAGTTCAGTTTGTCTCGAAAATATACAAGTTTAAAATTATAAAATTTTATTTGAACTTAAAATAAAAATTAAAGCTCGATTTGATTCGAAAGCTAACGAGCTTAAATTTTTTGAACTCACTCGAAATAAAAAATTGAAGATAAACTCGAGCTCAAAAAAAATTTGAACTCCACATATTCTTAAACTTAACTCAATTGAAGCTTAAACTTGAGCTCAAATCTAAACTTTAAATATATGAAAACTTTACATTGTATTTTTTTAATAAAAAATTAACAACACATACATATTAAAATTATTAATAATTTAATTTAAAAAGTATCAAAAGTTAATATATTATTTTTTTATTTTTTCGCGAGTTTTTCGAGTCGGGTATCATGTTTGATTCTTTAAAAATTTCAATTGAGTTCAAACATGAGTTGAGTTTATTTGATTTAAGAGTTGATCGAACATTAACTTAATTAATCTCAAGTAGCTTACAATTTATCTCATCTCATTTACAATCTATTTGTTTCCTATGAAATTCATAGGGTTAATTGCATGATAATTCTCAAACATCACTCAATTTCAAAATCCGTACAATATTCAAAAAGTGTTGTAATTGAGTTATTAAAATATATTAATTATTATCGATAACTAGTTAATCTAATGGGACAATATATTAAATTCAATAAGTAAGGTTAGATATTTGAATCGCAGCGTTCCATTTAATTTGGTGGGATAAAATATTATATTCTTTAAGTAAGCTCATAGATTTGAATTTTGTCATTTACGAATGAGTTAAAATGGGTTGAGAGGGTTGTCTCCATAATAGGCTTATGCAAGATTCGATCCGAATTAACCGATTAATAAATCAAATATTGATAATTAAACCAAAAAGTATATCAATTATTAGTTGGTTTAGTGTGATAAAGTGTTAAATCCAAAAATAAAAAAAATTAAGGGTTTGAATTATAACGTTGTGAATAAAGTCAATTAAGTTAAAGAGAAAGTTGTACTCATAATAAGAGTTCTCTATAATATTTGATTTCAAATTAATCAATCAATGAATCAAATATAGACGATTATATTTTTTTGATGTGTACCATATTTAAAAAAAATATCATATAAGTAATTTTTTAGTTTGGTTACTAATTTAAATGTTAAATGTCAATTAAATTGAATTTCTTTCAAGTTTAAAAATGTATTTAAATTTTTCCGTATGTTTTAAATATGCTTGTAATATATTTAAAAACGAAACTTAACGCTTAAGTTGATATGAAAATGATATTGATAGGTTAGGGAATTAATTAAAATATTATGAAGTTAGGTATCAATTTAAAATTTAGATAATAGTTGAAGGACATATGACGCAAATAACCTAATTAAAAGTAAATGAAAGAAAATAGCTTTGAAAAGCCGCTGTTTCATTTTGGGAAGGATTGAATTGAGGAGATCTGGAGTTAGGACAGGACAGAACACGTTATCTTCTTCCTCGGTTCCTCCCTGCACCACCTTCCAGCAGCCGACTGTTTCCAAAACAACAAAAGCCCATATCTCTTCCATGTAATGAACGTAAGCTTCTGTCTTTCAACACCTTCTTTTCGTTCGTTTTTCTTTGAAGCGGTTAATACTTCCCCTGTGTTCTTCAACTGTTCGATTAAATGTCTCTGAAAAGCTCCTGTCTTCAAAAGTTACACATGTTTCCTTACACTTCAATTGTTTCCTGTGAAATCAATATGTCTATATATGATACTTCGTATATTGTCTGAATTTGTAGGTTTCCTTTTAAAAAAATTAACATCATGTTCGTCGTTAAGTGAGCAGTAGCAAAAGTTTGTAGCTATTGCTGATATAATTTGAATGTATGATCCAGCTTGCTTTAATGGATAGGTACCTAAAGGAGCAGGATTTGTGTTGTTAAAAGGATGGTGAAGCTTTCAGCTTATTCTTTGATGATTTCGTCATTTACAACTTTTCATTCTATTATCCTTAAAAAACCTCGCAGATTTTCTATAAATATACCTTTCAACCATTCAACTAAATCAAGGACCATTTCTTATTCTCAAAACGTTCAAATACATTCAGAAGACGTGATGGGTGCGAGCCGATATCGTCGTCCTCTATTTAGGTAGGTAATAAAATCTATGGCTTCAACTCCCCTTTCTCCCTTCAAGCATTTTATGAATGAGAATATCTTTATTGTATGGATTTACAGCGTAGCTCCCATGATGGAATGGACTGATAATCATTATAGGACGCTTGCTCGCCTCATCTCGAAACATGCGTGGCTGTACACAGAGATGCTTGCTGCTGAAACTATCGTTTATCAAAAAGGGAATCTGGTAAGTTTGTGAATGAAACATTTAATTTGTAGCATGATGCACGTTGGGGAATCTTAAGTTGAAATCCCTTGGATAAATTCAGAACACATATGAAGATGGAAAGAAAGCAGAGGAAATCTTAAATGTATATTGGATTTCTTTGGCTGTATTTGGTGAAATATTTTGATTCCCCAACTTAATTAAGCTTTGTAGTGGTAAACTATAAACCGTTAATCATTGCTGATTCTCTTGATCTCGACTTTTTTGCTTGCTCAGGACAAGTTCTTGGCATATTCTCCTGAACAGAATCCTATTGTCCTTCAAATTGGTGGGAGTAAATTAGAGAACTTGGCAAAAGCCACTGAACTTGCTAGTGCATACAACTATGATGAGATTAATTTCAAGTTGGTACCATTTCTTTACATAATTTTATTCACTTCCTTTTTGCTTTGCAATTTTCTCAACTGATGCATTTTCTTTTCTTTGTTTTTCATTATTGTTCCTGCCCTGAAACCAGTTGTGGGTGTCCTAGCCCAAGAGTTGCAGGGCATGGGTGCTTTGGTGTTCGGCTTATGCTTGATCCAAAGGTAAGATAGCAGTGCTTGTAAAATTTAAAATAACAAGCTGATTAGATAATGTTTTTCTTTTCCAATGTGCACATGCATGTTCATTTTTTACTTGCAAGGAAAGTTTGTTGGAGAGGCTATGTCAGTCATTGCTGCCAATACAAATGTTCCTGTCAGTGTTAAATGCCGGATTGGTGTTGACGATCATGATTCATATAATGAGCTCTGTAAGTTCTTTCGCCAATATTACCTGGCTTTGTCCCTAGTAACAGCTTCATTAGATGCTATATTTTTCTTTCTCCATTTCAGGTGATTTTATCTACAAGGTTTCTAACCTATCACCAACTAGGCATTTCATCATACATTCACGGAAGGCTCTACTAAATGGCATTAGCCCAGCTGATAACCGAAGAATTCCCCCACTAAAGTATGTTTTCATATTTGTTTATATCAAATAGTTCAGTTTCCTGTTCATATAAATTGATATACAGCTATATTCAATAAGAGATGTTTATAACTTGCTCATCTGAATTCAGATATGAGTTTTATTATGCACTCTTGCGTGACTTCCCAGACTTAACATTTACCATAAATGGAGGCATTAATTCTGTTGTTGAGGTAAACCTTTGTCAAAACCTTGTTTCCTTTAGAATAATTAGTGTCCAATATTGTTATTTGGTAACCATAAATGTTATGATAGGATCATATTCTGTTATTTCTTACACTATGATGAGGATTTTTTCCTCTATGGATTCAAATTGAAGGGATTTTGCATTATTTCTTTTGTGGCTCTTATTGTTATTTCATTCTGCAGTTGGTAATTACCATAAAATAATTGATGTTGGATGTTGGAAAATTGAGCTGGACTTCTGGTAATTGATTTACCCTTTGAAAAACAGATAGGGAACAGAAAACTTCTGCAGAAAAGAAAATGTTCTGTTTGGGTGGCTTATAATTTAATTTATTTGGGGTCTTTAACCACCTCTGCATTCTTTTTGGCATTGCTCTCTTAACTCTTGTCAGCCCTCTGACATGTGCAATCTGAATTGTATTATTTATGGACATTTAAAATTGTAGGTAAATGCAGCTCTAAGAGAAGGAGCTCATGGTGTTATGGTTGGACGTGCTGCATATCACAAGTATGTGTAATGCATTTCTTACTTATTGCTTGCTATTAAGCATTTGTTTTTTCTGTATTTACTAAGCCATACCCTCTAATCTACTATTTTTCGCTAACCCAATATTAGCTGACTAAAAGAAGTTGGTTATCTTAAGCAGCCCTTGGCAAACTTTGGGACACGTTGACACTGCAATATATGGTGCACCAAGTAGTGGTATTACACGCCGTGAGGTTGATGGAAAATTGCTGCCCATTATTCATGCTTTTTGTTCAATTGTTATTTAGTATCCTCTTATTGTTTTTATTTCTACTTTTAGATCCTTCAGCGATATCAAGAATATGGAGACTCTGTTCTGGGAAGTGATGGAAATAATAGACCTAATGTTCGAGATGTGGCAAAGGTAGGCAGTTGTGTCAGTTTCACAGCATCATTGCAAAATTGATGCTGTTAGTGATAATTGCAGATGGTTTTCAAAACCTTCAAACGCGGACCGATACTATTATTTGTATTTATGTTATTTTTTATTTTGGTTTGGTCATGTTTTTTTATGGTTCATCTTTATTTTGATATTGCCTTTTAATTCCCTTTACCCCTTTACCTTCAGCTATAGTGTATCTTAGCAAATCTGTTATAATATCTGCAGCCTCTAATCAACCTTTTTCACTCGGAGCCTGGAAACAGTCTGTGGAAGCGCAAAGCTGACTCTGCTTTCATGCATTGCAAGGTACGAATTTTGTGTTTGGATAGTTTTCCCCCCTAGAAGGAATCTACAAAACTCTGCCACTCAATGCAGTCGAATTTTCTTTAGCTTTTATCATTTAAGGGAATGCAGTTAAATTACATTAATCAAAGTTAGCTTCCTGAAACTTGGATCCATAAATTTATGATTGGAATCATTCAAATTTTATACTACTATTGCAAACATTTCTTAATGTCTGCCTGACAATTTTTTTTATTGCAGACAATGAAATCGTTCTTCGAGGAAACGCTTGTGGCGCTACCTGATTCAGTCTTGGATGCACCTATTGCTGGGGGGGTACCATCTGGTCGTGAAGATCTTTTTGCCAATGTACATGATTTAATACCACCCCCATACAACGTGAGAGAAGAGGAAGCATTATATGCTTAGATTCATAATGTCCTAAATCCCTATGTTCCAATTGATTTTAGTCTCAAATTACAAATTCTTTTTAGGAATACATCCTAATTGGTGCCATGTATGCTGAATTCTAATTATATCAATTTTTAATTTACAAAATGACTTTTTTTTTTAATTAGAACCACTTTAAAATTTTCAGTCCCTAGTAAGTCTTTTGTTATCTTTTATCCATTCTTCACTGGCCTGCCTTTGTTTAGCAGCAAAGGGTTATCTAGAGGGAGAGGCAGGATTTCTCTTAATTCTTGGACCCCAATCCATTTGTAGATATGGATTCCACCCAAGGGATTTTAACGGCTACCATTTGACCTAGATAATACGAATGATGTGACACTCAGCTATTTGTCCAAAATCTTCTTCTGATAAGATCTCATATTTGGATGCTCTTCCCTCCTCATTTCATTATTCTCCATATTCCTAGACTTGGAAATTTAAGCTAAAAAGGCCCTCCAATTCAGAAATCCCTTGGCATCTGCAGAAAACAAAAAGAATGGCTTCCATCACCATGACAGCACCATTCCTCTGCGCCACTAGCCTCACAAAAGGTACCCCCAGAAATGGGCAGCGGAGACTTGTTGTGGTCGCCAAAGCTGCTAAAGGAGCTGAAGTGGAGGGTGTCCAGTTGAGTGGTGAGACCAACAATGGCAGGAGGGAGTTGATGCTTGCAGCAGCTGCTGCTGCTCTTTGCTCTGTTGCGGGGGTTGCAATGGCAGAGCCTAAACCGGGCAGTTCTGAGGCCAAGAAAGCGTATGCTCCTGTTTGTGTCACCATGCCAACTGCTAGGGTCTGTCGCAACTGAGGCACTGTATTGCTCGAGTAGTTCGGGGATGACTAATGGGCTGAAGCATGTAATTTACAGTGCTTGTAATCTCTCATAATGAAGAAACTAAGTTTAATTTTGTGCTTATTATTAAGTGTGCTGAATTGTTTCATTTTCCACTAGATTGTTTAATTTAGATCATTCTGACTTGGTTCGGGAACCAACACTCGTAATAGAAAAGTTCTTCCAGTTCAGGGGATAGCAGATTTTTAATGTTTTGTTCAAGGATTTAAATAGCGGTCTGTTACTGTAATATCACTGCTATATAATGATAGCGGTGTCGTCCGATACCATTATTACATGATTGTAATAATATCACCGTGTCGCAACCGTCTTTCGGTTGGGCCCCGGAATTGGGCTTCGACTTGAAAAATGTGGATTGGAGTCGCCACCGATCATTTATTTAAAATTAAATGGGTTGATCGGATACCCTATTTCTTACCTGATCTGCGTCTTACCAGAAATATGTCGGGTTCGGGAGTCGGTTACGGTCAAGGAAGGATTAGCACCCTTGAACCGCCCTTTCGGTACTACGTAATTTCCAGTTGTCTTAATTAAGAAAAATAACAAGTTAAATTAAAAGGTAAAGTTTCGATCCTAATTACTTACCCTTGATTGATTTGAAAAAAAATCGAGAAATGTGTTAGATAAACAAGGTAAAGAAAACAAATAAGATACAAGGGAAAAATAAAAAAAAAAATAAGTAAGATAAGAAAAAATAGTAAAGTAATAATTATATATAGTAATAAAAAAAAAAAAAAAAATATATATATATATATATATATATATATATATATATATATATATATATATATATATATATATATATATTAATAAATAAATAAGCTATATGTACACCAAATACTTAAAAATAGAAAAGTTACCCTCCCAATTCACCGAAAATGGGGGGCTCTAGTAAGAAATAAGACAAAAAAATGGACCCTCTAGGTTAGTAGTATATAATATAATGTTTAATAATGATAATGATAAAGACACAAGATTTTTTTTAAAAAAATAATAATATAATAATAATGAATAAAAAAATGAAAATAATAAAAATAATATAAATATAAAGTTATAAGATATATTACATAAATAAAAAAATAATCAAATAAAAATAATTAAGAATATATATTTAATAATATATAAATAAACTATTAAAAGTATAAAAAATATATACGACTAGATAAAGATAATTTAATATATATATAGTAATATTAGACTTATAAGTAAAATATTAAAGAATATATATATAATAATAATAAAATATAGTAAAAATCAAATGAAAATAATTTAATATATATATATACATATAATAATAATAACATGAATAAAAATAAATGAATAAATATCCATATAATAAATAAAGGGACTAATATAGATTTTTAAAAAGCTCTTTCCCTCTTTTAACCGAAAATCAAACCGGTTTTTAAAAATAAACCTCGGGGTAGATCTAGGTTCGAAACTTCAAAACCCCACGCATTTTGGTCATCGGCGCAACCCACGTTTTGGGTTATTCGAACCAAATCTCAAAAAAATAACGTGCACATGCAAAAGAAAGAAAAAAAGAAAATGCTACCTTTTATTTCCTTTTCGAATCCTTTACAATAGCTTTGCCTTTGTATCTTCCCGTGCTTTCCTCTATGTTTTGTGTATAAATCGTGTCCTACAATAGTGAGTTACAATGGTTATTTATAGTGCTTGTGGATCCTATCTTTAGGAGTTTAAATCATAGTAGAACTCTATCCTATTTTTTGAATCCTAGCAAAATTCTATCCTATCTTTAGGAGTTTGAATTCTAGTAGGACGAAAAGGTGTGTTGACAGCAGCCCCTCTTTGCCCATAGTCGTGTAACGGGGATAGGGCAAAGATTAAAAGACACACTTTTCGTTCGGTGGAGTTGAAAATTGACTATGATGTTTCAATAACTCCCTGTCGAATTGAGTTACGGATGACTCCTCCGTCGTGAAGCCGAGTTCATCTTAGAATGATATGAAATTGAAGCCGTAGTTCGGAATTTGAATCAGAACGTGGCTTCTCGTTGCCCTTCGGCCTTCTTCTCGGTTTAAAGACCTTGGATCGGAATCGAACTCAGAAATCTTCATTGACATATAGCTTTTGTTTGAAAATGGTTGCTTGTCACTAAGGCACGGTTAACCCAGGTCCTCTTCTCGACTTGAAAACATCGACTGCAATCGGAAAGTAGTGCGATTGATGTGTCATCGAGCTGAATGGAATCGAACTCGACAATTTTGATGGCAGATAACCCTTCTAGCATTGAGTTATGCTGTAAATGATGTGCCTTGGAGCTGAGCGTAGTCGAACTCGAAGGTCTTTGTTGACATATACTCCCTTTTTGAGTTGGATATCCTTCGCCGTGAAGTTGAAATCCAATCTAAAGATGGATGATGCTTGTGTGCACGATTCCCTTCGTCGTGAAGTTGAGCCTGAAATTGGATATACTTCGTCGTGAAGTTGAAATCCAAGTAAGTAGCATTGTTTAGAGTCCAATATCCTCCGTCGTGAAGTTGAAATTGGCTCTGGAACCGGGAAATTGTTTGTTGACAACCAGCCGTCCCTTCGTTGTGAAGTTGAACTTGTGTTGTCTCGAGTCCAATATCCTTCGTTGTGAAGTTGAAATTGAATCTGAATGAAATTTTGTTGACAAGCAGCGGTCCCTTCGTCGTGAAGTTGAACTTACGTTGTCTGGAGTCCAATATCCTTCGTTGTGAAGTTGAAATTGGCTCTGGGATTGGGAAGTTGTTGTTGACAAACAGCGGTCCCTTCGTCGTGAAGTTGAACTTGCATTGTCTGGAGTCCAATATCCTTCGCTGTGAAGTTGAAATTGGCTCTGAATGAAATTTTGTTGACAAGCAGCGGTCCCTTCGTCGTGAAGTTGAACTTGCGTTGTCTGGAGTCCAATATCCTTCGTTGTGAAGTTGAAATTGCTCTGAATGAAATTTTGTTGACAAGCAGCGGTCCCTTCGTCGTGAAGTTGAACTTGCGTTGTCTGGAGTCCAATATCCTTCGTTGTGAAGTTAAAATTGGCTCTGAGATTGGAAAGTTGTTGTTGACAAGCAGCGGTCCCTTCGTCGTGAAGTTGAACTTGCATTGTCTGGAGTCCAATATCCTTCGCTGTGAAGTTGAAATTGGCTCTGAATGAATTTTGTTGACAAGCAGCGGTCCCTTCGTCGTGAAGTTGAACTTGCGTTGTCTGGAGTCCAATATCCTTCGTTGTGAAGTTGAAATTGGCTCTGAGATTGGAAAGTTGTTGTTGACAAGCAGCGGTCCCTTCGTCGTGAAGTTGAACTTGCATTGTCTGGAGTCCAATATCCTTCGTTGTGAAGTTGAAATTGGCTCTGAGATTGGGAAGTTGTTGTTGACAACCAGCGGTCCCTTCGTCGTGAAGTTGAACTTGCGTTGTCTGGAGTCCAATATCCTTCGCTGTGAAGTTGAAATTGGCTCTGAAATTGGGAAAATTGTTTATTGACAACCAGCGGTCCCTTCGTCGTGAAGTTGAACTCGTGGGTGGCCCCTTCGTCGTGAAGTTGAGCCAGGAATTGGATATCCTTCGTCGTGAAGTTGAAATCCAACTTGAAAATACGAACTGGATTGGTTCTGAATTATCTCTCGAACTCGTCTGAAGTTGATTCTAAGATCTGTCGATCTTTCAATATGTCAAATTGGTTGAAGTGTAGCTTCTTGCTGCTGAGTTAAGCAACCAACATCAATCTTTAAAGGTGCTTTTGAATCGAGTATCCTTCGTCTTGAAGTCGAAACTTGACTCTAAAAGCTGCAAAAATTATGTATGTGGGAAAAAATGATGCTCTAAAATGTATGCATAAGATGCATATAACATGAATTGGTTATATTTTATCTCTTGAAAAAGGCTTGATAATTCGCATTAGGATGTTGAATCCCCAAAGATGCCCAAAAAATGCCCCAATATTTCATGTTGAATCTTCAAAGATGCCCTAAATGTTCCACATTTCTTGCTTCAACATTGATTCTGAGCATGAGTTTTGTGTCTAAGAGTCACATGTCATTTACCAAGATCCACTCTAGAGAGACTGTCTTGTTTGAAAAAAATGTTTTTCTTTCTCTTTTAATATCAATTAAAAGAGTTTCAAAAAATGTTTAATCCCAAGTTTTAAAAATATTGCCCCTTTCACGGTTTTACAATTGAGACGAATCATAAAGCTAGAGTTCATTGGATATCAAAGAATTAATTACAATGTTAATCCTTTAATGAATTATAGCTATTTGACAAGTGCCAAGATCAAAGCTATTTTTGAGAGATGGTCAAGTAAGGAAAGGATAAAAAGTCTCAGGTTATTGTGTTTGGTCAAAGGTTTGGCATTTGATGCTCAAAGGTTTGGTATTTGATGCTCAAAGATTGATGGGGTAGCTTACATGCTTCTCTACTGGAAGTGTTCTCTGACTCCCAACCTTTGTTGTCACACTCGGATTGTGCGATGCCTTATCAAGTAATTTGTGTGATCGCCTCAGTTGCACAATTTTTATATTCGAGCCGCCTTTTCAGGTTTTCAACTCGAATCCTCCTTTGGTTTCAAGACGTTATTCAGGATTTATATCTTGAACCCCCCTTTGTTATTTTTCTCTACCATACATTAATTACATTGTTTTTTTTGCAAACAAAGATTAATCCTGATGGGCGGGATGAAATCTGAAGATAGTATCTTCTGTTTAGAAATCCATGTATGATTAGAAGGGACTTTTAAGGCACGTAATATAGGCCAAGGCTCATGGTTATGAAAGAAAAGGATAAATAGGCCCAAACAAGTGTTTTAGGGTGTTGAACCAAGGATCAATTCATTCTGATGCCTTCAATCCTGTCTTGCTCAATTTGGATCTGCTCATATGTGTTTCTCTGGATTTTCTCTGGATGTTCCATGATCTTCGAGTGAAGTGATTCAGAGATTCGGGAATGATTGTGCTTGATCAATCTCATAGTTTGAAGCTTGATGTGCCATTTGTCTTTAGGGAATCTTTGCAT